TTCCCTTCCCTTCCCTTTTTACTCCTCTCGCTCGCTCTCGTCTTCTGCGCCCCCACCTCTCCCGACCTCGTCTTCGACTCGTCGACCTCGACCTCCTGTCGCCTCCGTCAAGAATTCCCCGGGCGACGTCGATTCTTCGATTCTCGACCTGCGCCCCCTTTGCGCCTACGTGGTCCACCGAGTCGATCCTCTTCCGCTCCCTTATGTGCCACGAACGGATCTGACGACCCGACAAAGGTCTCGCGGACAAACGCCAACTTCCTCATGAATTCGCGATCGAAAACTGCCGTAATTCTTCAAGCCGTGACGGACAACTAAACCACGTCCTTCCCGCACCCATCCGACGGTTTCTCGTCGAGTCGCTCATTTTTACTACCTTGCAAAACACCAAATTACACTTACACTCATTGACACATTTGTCAAGTACATTCGTTGAGAACCCCCTGACAAGTGAGTTCCGTCTGACTCTAGCTGTCGCCGGGCGCCACTGCTGACTCTCCATGGAGACTACTAAACACTGCCAAAGATTGGTATCTTACAATCGCTAAAACAAAACATCAATTGAAAATTCGATAATCGGGATTATTGTTGGGAAGGAAACATGTACGCCAAGTCTGCTCTTCTGGCCGCCGCCTTAGGCTTGGCAACCACTGCCTGCGCCGACCAGGAAAGGCCCAAGATTTATTTTCCCCGTCACGTCAAACGCCAGTTCACGAATTCCACGAGCACGAGACCTGAAACTTTCCCAGCACCGGAGAGCACGCCCTTCGACTCGACAACATCAAGCGGGCCAAGTTCGTCATTTAGTGACTTCCTGACCAGCTTGACCGACACTCTCAATCAGAATCCGTCATCCAGCGCTTCTTCAACAGAGATACCCGCCGTCACGTCGCCTTCGCCTACGTCTACTGTCGCATCGACCCAGCTTGTCTCTTCAGGAGCCACTGAATCCTCCGTATCGCTGTCCACCGCAACTCTTGCAGATGGCAGTGTTACGACTGTTGTGATCTCCAGCACCATCGTCTTCGACCCATCCACGGAGACGACGGCAAGCGGTGCGGCTTCCACCACCAGCCTCCCCCCCGTCATCGTGCCTACGACGAGCGAGTCCTCGGCCGTTGCGACAAGCGATGCCCCTACGACCTCGCCTCTGCCCACCACGACTCAGACGCCCACGCCGACGGCTGAAAGCTCCGCTGCTGCAACAAGCCCGACGACTACCCCCGAGTCGTCCGCTGCTGCCGTTCAATCTACCACATCCCCGGAATCTTCTGTCCCTCAGTCATCCACCGCCCCCGAGTCATCGACTTCGGTGGCTCAGTCATCCAACAGCGCAGAAACCACGCCGGCAGCTTCTAGGGCTGTCGAGTCCACCGCCGCATCCGCGACTGAGATGAACTCGACTCAGCCCACTGACGCCGCTCGTGTGTCCAGTGCTCCCGGTTCAAGCACTGTCGTTCCGCCAACCTCGGAGGCTGTCACGAGCTCCGCCGCCCCTGCTAGTTCTGAGATTGCCAACAGCAGCAATCCGGCTGCTCCCACAACCCAGGCCGGGTCTAGTTCAGTGCCGGAGACGACTCTCTCCATCTCTTCCTCTGGTATCTTGCTTGCCCCGACTGGTGTCGTGAGTGAGACGCCAACTTCGGCGTCCGAGACCCCTGCTGCGGAGTCGACTTCGATTGCCGAACTGCAAACTTCCGGCGTAGTTGCGTCGAGCGTTGCTCCCAGTGTCAACATTACGGAGCCTGCAGTGTCCACTTCAGCCCAGTCCGTCTCACTGCCTGCCGAAACCACCTCTGCCGTTCAATCCTCTGTCTCTGCGCCCGCCGAGAACGCTTCCACAGATGCCACCATTTCCGCCACGCGCCTGCCAACTTCAGTTGCTTCTTCCGAGGCCCCCCAGACAACCAAGCCTACGAACCCGCTGGAGCCCATTGTTTCCCTGATATCCAGCGAAGTTCCCATCATCAACGCAACCTCTGCCGAGCTCCCCGTCGCTTCCTCCTCTGCCGCTTCGTCCGACGTCCCTATCCCGGCGCCCACTGCCCTCCCATCGCCAACTGATCGTACCACGACATCGGCAGTGCCTACCGACCCCATTGTGAATCTTACCTCGGCGCTTGGGATCTCGACTGAGCCGACTACGTCCGTGCCGGTTCCTAGCGACCCAGTTGTTAACATCACTTCCTCAACCGAGCTCCCCGTGTCCCTTCCCACTACTGTGCTTTCTTCTACGGAGGGCATAATCAACGCTACATCGACGGAGATTCCTGTGGGAGAAACGTCAACTAGTAAGCCGGTTACTTTGACTGACAGCACTGTCACGTCTGCACCCACAACCGCAGCGACTGGTTCCGTGGAGCCTATCCCTGCCAACTCCACTTCGACCGAGGTTCCCATTACTAGCGGACTCCCGACGACAACTGAGCTCCCTTCTTCTGTGACTTCCATTAGCAACACTACCGATGCTGAGAGTGCGACCTCTGTTCCGGCGTCCACTGCTTCTATCCCGTCGACAACCATCGCAAACGAGACTGCACCTGTGACCGAGACGTCCGTTCCGGTTACCTCCCAGCCAGCGACGACTGAGCTTCCGGTTGCTACATCGACTGCCACCCCCGTCAACACCACCGAAACGCCTGTTGTTGAGACTACACCTACGGTATCGACTCCTCCTGCCTCGACCACCCCTGTCATCACCAGCATTCCTGCCACGGCCACGATCACTGACTCCGAGTCCTGGCTTCCTACGACCATCATCGTGGAGCAATCCACCTCAATCAGCACTCCTACCGAGGCTCTGGCCCCCACGACGACAGCCCCGTTGCCCTCTGATCTCCCCAAGGTCATCAGCCCGCCTGACCCCAACGTTGAGAAGCCGAAAGATTCCACCCTTCTCCAGATTGGCTTCTTGCACGGCGAGAATTACCAGCACGTCAGCAAGAACCCCAACGCTGCAGCTCAGATCTTCAGCTGTCTTCCCAAGGCTTTGGCCGACGCAGCCGGTCTCGACCTGACCCAGATCAAGATGCAGAAGCTTGTTCCTTACGACACCTCTCAGACCCTCGGCTACATTACCACCCTGGCCAGGTTCTACTATCCTACTAGTATGGTTGATACCCTGCGCATGGATATCAAGATTCCCAACTCTGCCATCTACAACAACCCTGACCAGCTTGTCTTCAACCTCACTCAGAACATCAACCCTGCCATTGAAATTATTCCGGGCATGGAAGATGACCCTAACGCCACTGGTGATGGTGGCTCATCGTCCACCGATGCTGCCAATCCCAACGACCCTTTCAACAATGATAACAACGAGCAGACCCCGATCCAGAAAGGCACTGCGGCGGCTATTGGTATCGGTGCTGTTGGTGTTGCTGCTGCGTACGGCGCCGCCATGTTCATCATTGCTCGCCGCTACAAGCAAAAGAAGCAAGCCCACCGCCGTGCTAGCTCCCTCACCTCGTCTGAAATGCGTTACACTGGCGCGGGCAGTCCTCCGATGATGGGCGGGGCTCTGATGAGCAGAGACTTCTCTAGCTACGGTGGAGTCGCCGGTGGCCGAGACAGTCATGGCAGTGGCCGCACGAACCGCAGCGGCCCGGGTAATTCAGCAAGGACCGCGATCATTTCTGCCCCCGTTGCTGCTGAGAATTCACTTGGTTGGAATTGATTGACGACCTAAACGCCAGTTTCCATGTTTTTCACCATTTACGCTTCGATACCCTTCGGGAGGATCCTGTTTGAATGAGATGCCTGGCGATTGCCCGGTGTCGAACCGATGGCAGTTAGAGAGGGCATATTACATTTGGTACATGTCTTTGGCCATGAGCTATCAGCTCGAAAGATTTCTTTCCTTTTCTTTACTTCATGTCTGGCAGTACGTACCATTCTGCTCACCGGGCCATGGGTGTCGACGGTTTTGTTACCCTGTTCCATAACCGTACTACCATATTCTCGATGCCGCTGTACTTGGGCTGTTCCACCTTCCGTCCCCCACCTTGTCCGGGAGGAGCATTCTTTGGAATATCGAGATTTTTATTTTATTTTTTAATATTTTGTATCTGTGCTCAGGATCTATACATGGGGCGAAAAGCGGGATGGGTGATGCAATGGAGCCATATCAACGAGTGGCGATGAGTTCGGAGTTGGATTATGGCAGGCGATACCCTTGGGGGAAAAGAACCAGGCTGGGTTCCCTTGTACATCTTTTTGTTTCTTTTTTGCAGATGAAGAGGCGTCTATAACACTGCGCCTCGAGCTCGCAGCTCCACCTTTGTCCTGTGTTATTTTCCCCCGCTTGTCAGGTTGAGATGTGCCTACTTCACCGAGGCTGTCGGATAAGGGGTCGCCTCATTCGTATATTTGTCGCAGATACAGCGAATAGAAAAAAAAAAGAAAAAAAAACCTACGTCCGAAGGTCCAGCATTGCAATTTGACCTGCGTAGGCTGTAAATAGAGCCTAGTCATTAACTTCGTCCACGTACATAAGTATTCATATCTGGGTTTACAGCACTAGGAGGGAGTTTTCCAATACCACGGGTGGTGTTCATGCCACCGGACTCCCTTATACGTGTCATGATATCAAGTCTGCCTGAGAACACACCTCTCATGCGGCAGTCTACACCAACAAAACTTTCGGCAGCCCATTTCCAGGTGATGATTTGGATCTGGGGGCTGCGTCTGACTCATTTCATAGAGAGTATTCCTTGCGTAAGCAAATAAGCCCGCAGGATATGAGGATCAAAACTGAGCGAGCTACGAGAAATTAAGAAGGCAGGAGCAGGCAGCCATGCCTCCGCCTCCAAAGGTAAGTACTTAAGATGGGGCACTTGACAACAACCTTGCTTTCCCAACCTCGCTCCAAGTTCACGATCGCCTGCCACGAAGCCAGTATGAACCGACTAGCACTCTTTCAAGGACCGCTGCGCCTTGTGGGCATGTTACGAGCCTCTCCGACGCAGAGCAGTACACCCAATAAACGAACCTACACCACGATGGAGACTGCGGAGGTTGAGGAGGAAGCTGATGAGGAGGCGAAGAAGAAGGGGAGTTGGAGAGAGCGAAAGTACGAGTTTTCGAAGCCGGTCTCGACTGCGTGGGACGACGCGCGCGTCATTCTTCCGGCCGGATGGGAGCGCATGAAGAAGGGGCTCTGGCCGCAGCAGATGGAGGACCGATGGGTGATAGCCCACGTGGCGACGGCGGAGGCGAACGGTGGAGAGGGGGAGGGGATCGTGTTGGCTAGGAGCTGGACAAGGTATCCCTTGGCACAGATCACAGTAGTACCCTCAGGCGCGGACGGTTGCAGCAGGAGGATCACAAAGATTACGTGGGAGGGAGACGAGAAGCGCTGGAGGGTGGATGACCGTAAGAGCGAGGCCAAAAAACTTGTTGTCCGGTTCGCGAGGGGGGTTTTCAAAGTCGACCTGGCAAACGACAGCGAGTACGAAGGGGACTGAAGGCATGTTCATTTCTCTTCCCTTCCCTTCTTTTCTTGGATCCGTGCGTCCGCTCTGCATTCCTTCATCGGATGAACTTAGACTGACTCGGTGCAGAGGTGTTGGAAACCTTCGTCTTGCGGCGGATATGAACCGGCGCGCAGTGTTCCTCCATAGGATATACCCATGCACCACTACACCCAAAGGTTCTCGAGACATAGCTTGCCTTAACTTTGAGACTCTGATTTTACGACTTGGATCGTCCTAGCCGCAGGTTGTGGTGATTTTGCTATTAGTGGCCTTGGCTATTAATTGGTTTTGTATGCCAAGGAATGTCGATTCAAGCACGGGCGAATGGTTTAGTGGTATAATACTCGCTTAGCATGTGAGTGGTCCAGGGTTCGATTCCCTGTTCGTCCATCTCTTTTTCGGGCCAAAGTTTTTGGCAGCTGTTCCTAAACCGAAAAACAATTTGACAGGCTCCATCGGTTTCTGAATGTGGTCTTTGATACTGCCCACACGCTGTAGGTTGCAGTCTCTGAGGAACGTAGCCGCAGCAATAATGACTACGCCAGTTGACTTGCTTCGATAACAAGGCACGTAGTTCTGCATCGTTCGATGAAGATCGCCTACGAAAAAACATACGCCGCAAAGTGTATGGCACATACATAAGTCTCTTTTGATTTACTATTTTCACTACTTGAAGGAAGTTTTTGCTGGATTTATAAAATGCGGCCATGAAACGTTACGAAGGAACTTCATCAGGGCGTGGTCTCATCCATTAAATCAGTATGTATGTACGTAAAGATATAGGTTTCTGCACGACCATGTCCCTTGCGCTCTAGCTGGCTGGCGTCGTCACCGTGGTGGCATCCGTCTTTTCTGGCCTGGGTGATGACTTGCGACTTGCCCTACCAACGATCTTCTCCGTCCAATTCCAGCCTCCGAGCGGCGTCGACGATCGCGCCTTGTCCTTGTCTTTGGGGCCTGTCGGTGACGAGGGACTTCTTGCACTGGCTGTCGTTGTAGTATCGCTATCATCACTGTCCGCCCAGTCACGTTCGCTCCACGTAACCGAGTCGACACGCTCAGGCGGCCGTGGAGGCCGATTTGCCCTCGGCGGACTGGCTGAGGAGCTCCGGGATGACGAGCGGCGCTTCGGGGGTGGCTGCATGTCAGGGACCATGTCTTCCGCCTCCCTCTGGGAGTTGGGAGACAGTAGCGCCGTCCCCAGAACATCGCTCGCGCCATCTCCGTTGAACGAAGCACCACTATCGTTGACCTCATCGCCAAACTTATTAGGCGGCAGGTTAATATTATTAGCTCTTTCACCAGTTGGCTCGTCAGCATCACGTGTCCTCGCCGTAGCGGAGTCGCTAAAGTGGGCGTCGACGAGATGCTTCACCACAGGCCAACCATAGGCATTGGCGAACATTCGACGAACGATGATGTTGTTGTGAGCGTCTGGCTCTAGCTTGACCAAGACCTTCCTCCAAGCGAGTCCACGATGATAAGCGCGTGCGATCTTCTCTTCAACCCGCATCTGCGATGCGTCAATCTCCTCATCGGCGCCCTTGTTCGGGTTTGTGTTCGCTGTGTCATCATAGTCTCTGATTGAGTCCATGGTACCTTCATGTGAAAACCGGTGAGATGGATGCGGAGACGAGTCCGTACTAGTCCTCGACCCTCCAGAGCCAGTTGAGGCGGCCCTTCGGAACGTGCCTCTCCGAGAAGCCAACGATCCCGTGGGTTTCTTCTTCAACGGCGGAGGCGGAATATCAGCGGGCTGGTAGACACGGTCGTGGAAAATTGCGCGAGGCCTTTTGGATGGGTCTATCAGGTATTCGGTGGTAGGAATTTTGGGGTTGATCAGGTCGTGAGCGGACTCGAAGAAGCTCGTTCTCGGCGGGGCAATATGCCGGTTCTCTCCTCTTTCAAGTTCGTGGCCGGCAGTGACCTTGGAGGAGCCACCAGATGACTGTGATATCTCGTCAAAATTGATGGTCTGACTTCTCCTGTAAATCTTGTGTTGCTTGTTGGATATGGGTGGTGCCTTGGGCTGCGAGGAGTCGCTGCTTTTGAACATGGAGAAGAAGCCGGCAAATGGTCCACCACGATTTGCGTCTTTCCCGCCCTCGGGTCCATCTTCATTATAAGGCGTGGGAACAGACCGCAAACTGGCCCTGTCATCTTCCATCATTGCGTTCCGCGGTGGCTGTGGAACCTCGACAGCATTGGACGGGGCCGTGGGGGTGATGTTGCCGGACTGGTCGTCGGGCGTCGCATCTTCTTCCGGAGGGAGCATACTAGTTCTCCGAGGTGTGGGAGCCAAGCTACCGCCGGTCAGTTCAGCCCAACCGGCACCGACCAGAGTCTCAACCAAGCCAGCGTCTCGCCGGGCCTTCTCCACGCGTCCCAATCCTTGCCAGTCCAAGAACAAGAGACAGCTAGTTCTGAGTGGCACAATGCCATCGTTGACGACGTTGGAGTACACCGTCCGGTTGCGGAATTTTTTCAGGGCAGTGTGGGCCGGTCCCGTCGGCAGGATCCTAAGCAGAGGCTTCGACTCTGGCTGAACTTCTCCCATGACTCTCTTGTGTGCGCTCTCTCCGAGGTTACTGACGATTGCCCCCCACCCACTCCTTGCGATGGTCGGCGCCCTCCAGGTTAGGCCAAGATCCTGGCCGGTTCTGCCAACCAACCCGAAGTCGAGGGCAAATTTGACATAGAGAGGGTTCTCGTTGCTGAGACCAAGAAAAGGCGTGGCAAGGGCAACGAAGTTGATCGGTTTGATAATGTTGAAGAACTCTGGGGAGTGTTTCTGAATGTATGCAACGGCGTATGTCTGTATCAATCCACCCAGTGAATGTCCAATGAAACTGATGCTGGTAATGGTAAAGGGACGCTTCTCTTGAATCTCTTCTTTGTGTATAGTGCTGTGTTTGTGGGCTGCCTTGTTGCTGTCTGGTTCAGATTTGTTAAAAACGGCAGCGACTGCTGATTCGGCGTGTCCTTTCTTGGACGGAAGGAAGGGCTGATCGGGGTAGGACATGGAGAGAACGTATCTAGCCAGTCTCTTACCCAGGTATTTAATGCCCCTCTCCGTCCTTGTCGCATTGCCAGAAAAGCCTCGAACAATGACTTCCTCATCATCTCCGTCGTCCTCTGCAGGGGAGTCATCTTCGGGTGCAGTCTCCTGTGAAGAGCTGGCCCCGTTCGTATCGGCTTGTTCTTTGCTTCTTCTTTCTGTACGCTCCTTGGCACGTCTAGCCTTGGCGTCAATCTTGGCCTGGGCAACCGTAGAATCAATGCTCTCCTTGAGATAGAGCATGTCTGCTCCGAGGTTACTGTGTAAGCCATGGGTCAAGACCACTAAATGGACCTTCTTTTGCTTCTCTTCGGGGTTCTTTTCTGTCGGAGCACTGCTATCGTGGGCGACACTCTCGACGGGCTGGTCCTTACGAGGTCGGCTCTTGAGACGGTCAATGTTGAGATCATCCCAGCCCGGAAGCCTCGGAGTATTCCACAATGCGGCCGTGTCCTCAACCTTGAGCTCGATGGCTTTGGAGAAGACGCCCTTCGGCTGCGCCGGATGATGTCCGTCCTTGGCACCTAGGCTCTGCTGAAAGTCGGCGACCTTGCCGGGTTGCGGTACCTGCGCCTGGCCGCCAATGACGGGCAGAGAGTAGCTCAAATTCAGGGACTTGGCATCTCTTGCTATTGTCACCTCGTAGCCCACGGCAGCCGAAGTCGAGAAGATGACTTGTGAAGATACCTCGACGATCCACGTTGCGCTTTCGGTCTCGTGGTCCGGGGATCCGCCAAAATGACTGCCTCCTCCGGTCCCGGCACTCTGCCTTATATGCTCTGGAACAATCAGTTCGCTCTCCCAGGAACCGCCAGCCTTGAGCATGGGTTCGAATTCGGGAACACCATAGCGACGGGGGTTGGCGAACTTGACGTTGGGGTCGAAGTTGGAGGGGTAAGCGGCGGCGGAAAGAGTGTAGGGGCCGTGAACGAAGGCGGCGCGAAGGGCGATTGCTGAGGTGTTGCGGACGCGCAGGTAGAGGCGCTCGGGCGAAGGCAGGATTCGATCTTGAGAGGGTGTATAGGTGACGGTATAGCGGACAACCTCGCCAATCTTGACGCTCCCGACTTGGTAGACGAGAAGCATGATGGTATCGGAGAGTGTGCTGGGTGCGCCGATGGGGTTCGGGGCGGGGCGGGATGACGCAGAGAGTAGGTCCGGCGTATATAACGAGAGAGCTGCTATCGTCGGTCTGTTGGTGACGCCGTCATCTCCGGTCGGGTCGCTCCTCGTTGGCGGCAGTCGGGGAAGTGAAGGGGTCGTCGAGTTTGTCGTGAGCGAAGAGACCGGTGAAGTGGCAGCGACGGTCAGATCAAGGGAATAGTGGGAGTCCGGTCGCGTGTTCGATCTCGCATTCGCACGGATGGTGGGAAAGAGTGGTGTCGAAAGGGCATACGAGGCGTATCCCACACACAGGCGAGAAGAATACGAATAGTATAGTAGGACGTGTAGTAAGTCGGACAAGTAATCGGACAGGGAGGATGGGAAAGCGATGGGATAAGGTAAAGTAAGGTACCCTAGGAGCGGTAGGTAGTCGGGTCGGGTCGGTGGTCGGGGGATGTGAGGCTGGGAAGCACGAGCAGCTCTTCGTCTTGGGAAGCGAAGGCTCAAACTCGCAACCCAAAAGGTAAAGTAAGGCACGTTCGGTTCCGGGTATTGAGCGCGTGCCTATCCTGCAACATGGCAAGGTAGTAAGCCTTTACAACAACTGCGACAGCGCATCAGCAGAAGCAGACAAAGTTGGGAATCAGCCATAGCCCGGGAGCCATGGCAGGATTGGATAGGCACGAGGGAAACCCAAGACTCCGGGGACGCTAAGCAACAGTTGCTTGCAGTGCTTGCAGAGAGCGCACAGCACAATGATGCAACCTTCTCAGCGGACGTCAAGCAGCGCGACTCTTCATTGGATGCCACCAGCGCAGCTGGGGCGAGGCATCCGGAGGTCGAGGACGTGGACCAGGGCCAGGACGTACTAAGCTACTGCATAGTACACTACTCACCTAAGTGGTAGGTACCTTAGTAGGCCCACTACAATAGGACCAGGGACACTTACCTAGGTTGTCACTGCCCACCTACTTTACCTACCTAGGTACCTACCAGGGACAAATGCGCCACTGCCGAATCAAGCCTCACCATCCCATGACGATCCCCATCCGAGTGCCGCCGTAGGCATCTCGGTTTGATTTCGATTACCGGTCCAACATGGAAGTCGCTGCTAAGCTCAGGAGTTGACTTTTGCCCCACGCAGTCCAGACCCAAGCCAATTTCATCTCACGCTCATCATCTAAAGTCGGTTAGACTCAGCACCTTACGACAGAAGCGTCTTGCAGGAACGGGCTCTTGGTCCTCACCGACGCCAGAAAGTCAACATATTACTTACTCAAAGAGAAGAGAGGGTGTGCGGTCCAAGGACCACAGCAGAGCCAAGCATGCTCATCCTCGCCTCCCCGATCCTTACTTGCAGTCCTGCCTGTCCTGCTTTCTCAATGGATGCCCAGGTGCAGGCATCGTCTGTCTTGGCAGGGGACCAGGTCCGATCGATATGTGTTAAAGGCATTTTTGCGCCCTGTGGACGTGCGTCCATGTGCAATGGGGGTGCATCCGAGTGCTGCCGCTTACTGCGTAGTACGTACGCAGCACACCCATTGTTGTAGCTGTGAGATGCTGCGTCGCATACAAGAGTGCAACCGGCACTACCCTGAGATCTGAGATGGGCATCAATGCGAACAACAGCCAGGAACCGCACCACGTCACGTTCTGCCCCACCCGCCACGACCGCCGCAAATGGGCCTCAAGCCTCCCCCTTCGACGGAGCGAGTCAAGATCCGCCGCACGCCTCAGTCTCGTTGATCCCGGACCTGGGTCCGTAAGGTAAGGTGAGCCTCGACTTTCCAGGCTGCCGTCTGCCTGCCTTGGCAACAACCCGCCGTCGCGCCCACCACCAACCACCGGGCTCCTCTCGTCCCACAATCCTCTCGGCCAACGGCAGCATGGAGACTGCCCATCTAAAGTGCAAGGCAACACAAAGCTTGTTCGATCTAAAAGGTCGAGAACGGCCTGCCAGAGACAAATCTTACCTCGTTGGCCCATGCCTTCGGACGACAATGCACATGAGATTCATTCCCGCTCCTCGCCGCGCCGCACAGAAGCGAAGTGACCGAGGCAGAGAGTTCACATGGGAAACAGGCTAACAGCACTCAGTCCGGAAGCGCAGCGCAACGTAACGCCAGATAAAGCTTTGGGGCGGCGTTCTTTCCTAGAAGAAGAGTATACGCGTTACAGTCCTCTCTCAGCAACCAGAAACCCTTACATCCATGACCACCTCGGGACATCACACGCTTAGTACTTCAAGCACGAACCCATAAAACGTCAAGTTGCCTCTCCAAATGTGCAACGTCAACAAAACGGCCACCAAAAAAAAAAAAAAACCCTCGCCAACCATATCGTGTGTCGTGTGTCCGGTGTCATGTGCTGTCATTCAGACACCTTATTGGTTTGGTCTCGATCTTCTGTCGTAAGTACAGGGTCGTTATGCCCGGGCACTGTCTTCCGGGTCTCCTGGGTGGACATGACTCCGCCACTCAAATACCCGGTTCATCCCGCGGCCGGGTCCTGTGAGGCCGGCGAGCGTCGAAGACTTGGGTTCCGCGTATGGACGCCGCCGACTGTGCGTGGCGTGTATCGCTGCCTCTGCCTCGTAGTCATGAGCCATACGTCCAGGTACTACTCGCTCTGGGGGTCGCATGGTTCTAGCCCTGTTATACACTTCCTCCTCCATAGTGTGTCGCCGAAGCATCGGCGTTGGCGGCAGAGGCCCCATTCCTAGGGGCGCCGTCAAAGGAGGGGGGGGAGGCCCCATGGGGGACGCCGTCATCGGCCCGAGAGGCGAAACCGTATGCGGCGGCGGTGGCCCCATCATCACCGACCGGGAGGGGCCGCCCAGGCTGGAACGGAACTCCGAGAAGCGCTCGGCCAGGCGTTGGCCCATCGAGTCTCGTTGGCTTATCGTATCCTGAGGGAGGCCTCGTGCCCGGTTGACGCCTGACATGTAGTCGGTCGGCGTGGGGCGCTCGAAAGCCGCCGGTGGCGTTGGTGCGGGCGGCACTGGTGGTCCGGATACGAATACGTCGTCAGCTTCTCTGCGATAATCATCACTTGCGTAGTTTCCAATCGTCGTGCTGGCACCAGTAAGTTCCCCGTATCCTCTGTCAAGAACGTCGTCGTCTCCGTAACTCGAAAATCTGCGCGTGTCGTCGTCACGGTTGTCTTGAAACCTACGAACGAGTCTGTCTTCGTAATCTTGGGACCGAGACCGAGGTGACGGCCCCGAACGAAGCGCCGGCCGCATGCCCCTGGATGTCATGGTCAAATCCAGCCTTTCAAGCCGCTGGATCACTGCCGGAATTTGTACATCGGGAAGCCTATCCGCGTCTGTCGTATCATAGTTGAACCATGGGCAGTCGCAATTCTTCCATTTGACGCCGCAAATCATGCAGAATTGCGCTCCGCAGCGACTGCTATCGTCAGCAAGCCCGGATCGCAGACGGCCGGTCAACCAATGATGCTTACCATGTCATATGGTTGCAGCCTTCCTCGAGTTCAATCATGTGATTGCACTTGTAGCATCGCTGCCAGCCGGCCTCTTTGGCCTGCTCAAGAAATCTTGTGGTGTCTTCATCGTCGGGACAGTCTCTTGACGAGTGCCATTTCCCTTTGCAAGAGCAGCACACGTCAGTTCCGCATACCCTGCAGGAGCCACACTTGCGACTCCCTCTGCGATAGATGTCCGATGGTCTGATCCATGCTCCGCAGCGTCGCGAGGAGCAGTAGATCCGGTTACGGGTCGAGTACTCCAAATACTTTCTGTTCCACTTCATCTTGAAGTCAGATGACAGCAGACGCTCGACATACTTGAGTGGGATGACGTCTGGCGTGCAGCACCTGGGAGGCATAGACTGGGGATCCGTGATGGAAAGTTGGAATCGCCATTCAAGACAAGACTCGCACATGCGGTGGCCACATTTGAGCTTCGGAACTTTTGAAGACCGATCTTCGTCCATACAAATCATACACTGTGCCCTGGAGTGGAATCATTAGCACATGGCACACCAGAGGAATATTGACCCCCAAGGGCGACTCACATTTTGACAGGTTTCTCGGGCGAGCGAGAACGTACGCTCCTGGCGAGCCTTTGGCCCATGAAATTAGATGAATGTTTGTTCGACGAAGCTGTACTGTGCGATGTGACCTGGGATGCCGCCCCCGAAAGAGTGTGGGAGCGTCGAATCATCCGAGAGTCTCTATACACAACATCTGACTGATGTCTTCTGGAAGATCTGCTCGGGCCAGCGTCAGAATCACCTCGGTAAGGGAGCATTCCGTACGCCAACCTTTTGGAGGACGTAGGAGGCTTGGAGACCATCTCGTAAGTCTTCGCTGGAGGCCGATGTTGGCTCGGCCTCCTTGCAGGGCTGTGGGAGCGCTGCCTCGAGAAATGCCTCTCGGAAGCCGAACGAGACGGACGAGAGCGATGCCGCAAGGGAGACCTGCTGCGTTCGTCGAGAGACTGACGCGATTGTCGCGGCGTATGCACGGTCGATTCATCATCGTCTTCTTCCACATATACGATTTCCTTAATCTTCCTGCGGCGCTTGGGCGTCTTCTTCTTTCTCTCCTCTGGAGGGGACCGCCGTTCTTCCACCACGAGGCGGTGCGTGTGTTTCTCATGCTTCCCTCTCTCCTTCTCCCGCTTCGCCCTCTCGTGCCGTCTCTGGCGTTTCTCTTCCTGGGTCGATACACTGGTCGCTGACTCCTCGTCTGTCTCGGTGTCTGTGCCAGACTCTGAAGACGTGGAAGATCTCTCCCTTGCATAAGGTCGACGGGGCCGGGAGGGTTGGGCGGCTCTTGGGCTCCGACCACGCCGAGGACTCACTCTCCGGCCGGGTGTGGGCGACTCGGTCTCGCCAAAGTCATCATAGGCGTAGTCTGCGGCTGCATATCGTCCCCTTCTATATGTTTCCGTCACTGGAGCTCTCGACAGCACAGGCACGGGCATCGTCTCGATGACGGTGGCAGACGCGCCGCTGCTGGTCCTGGAGGTTCGGCTTCGTCCGGGGGACGAAGTTATCTCGTCGGGTCCTTGTATAGGGTCTTTGGGCCTCCGATATGGGAGTGAATCTAAGGACGTCTCGCCACCGGCATGCCAACCATGGTTGACAGGCAGCGGCCCTTGAGGGTAGCGGCGTCGGGTCTTTGTCCTGTGCCAGTCTTCCACATCTCGGTAGGCCATTGGGCGTCAGAAAGCCTCATCCGGGAGAGGGAGCGGGAGGAAATTGGGATCGAGGCAGGACGGGACGGGAAGTCGTGAGTCGAGGGTGTGGGAAAAAGGGCAGCGGAACAGCTGGTTGCTCGCGAGTGGGCGGACTTAATGCATGCCTATAGCTGTGATTGGGCTTGGATGACGGATTGCATGTCGGCCATGCACTATGTAGGCGGGCGAGAGATGATATGGCGCGCCCTAAGAATCGGGACGATGGCGATTGTTTGCCTCGCTCTTGTGAGGTATCAATCGGGCAGCAGCGGAAGCTGTTTGGTCGGGTTGTCGTGTGTTGTGGAGAGGTAAGAAATGAGAGGGACCAAACAGGATGCAGGCTGCTTCCTGTCTGCTGGACGGCTGGTGGAATCCCGAAATACCTAGGTAGGTAGACGAACGAGGTGGTCAAGCCAGGCTACCTTACGTACGGACTTGGAAGTGAGCAGGCAAGGTAGGCAAGGTAGGTAGATAAGGTAGGCAGTAGACATGGCAGATGGACAGAGGGGTTCTTGTTGATTCGGCGGCACAAGACACGTCCAAAGCAAGGAAAGCAGGCAGCCTCAGGTTGCCGCGAGTGGCTGTCCTCAGTCCCATAAGGACAGAAAAACAAGCAAGGGAAGGGACGTTTCCCGTCGAATCCTCAAACCTGAAAACGACTGCAACATGGCGAGGCCGTTTGTGAGAGAGAGAGAGAGAGAGAGAGAGAGAGAGAGAGAGAGAGAGAGAGTCATTCCATAGCCCGAGCTGCAGCTGCGAAAGGGGGTTAGGGGCGCCACAGATGCGGCAACCGATTGGTTCCCCTTCCACGCCCAGGGCTGCGTGTTGCGGCAGCGGGGTGGAATCGAGACGTTGCTGTCTCTGTGTGTCTCTGCCACTCACTCTGCTGCTCCACCTTGAGAAGGCAGATGGAAGCAATCAAAAGTCGACTCATACAGATGCACCGGCCTGTTTGAAGTTGGTTCCATCACGTCGGCTTTCCGTCCCAGAAGATGCTGACGTGACGGACAGACGGCAAAGACACACGGCCGATGCGTCCGCCGTGCGTCGTCGTCTGAGCTGGCGGCCAGTCCGAACTCCTCCACCACCTAATTATTACCAAGGTTAGCAGAAGAGACTGGACGGTCGGTTCACTTCAGTTCACACCGTGCGTGTCCAGCAGCGCGGGAGAGGCTGCCTGACAGTGAGTGGGCGGGAGGTGAAGTGCCTTGGGGAACGGTGAGGGAACCCTGAAGGATGCTTCGCGGGAGCGAACCGGAGGCTGAGCCCTGATGCTAGCGCTGTCGCTCTGCAGGGGCTGCCCTGGATGATCTGACCGCTCTGGCCGCCGCTGCCCTGGACCGCCCTGGATTTGCCCTCACGTGCCCTGATTTGCCCTCCTAGAGCTCCCGACCCGTCCGTCTTACAAGTTACAACAGCCGTCTGCAGTGTGCGGACGTCGCAGAAGCGAGCGAGCCGCTGGAGTCACGCACCGTGGCGTCGCGCCATGCCATCTTGGCCCATGACAACGGCGCCGGCCCGTCATGAGGGCTGTGATCTGACACAAAGTCTCATTGTGCACTGAAGGAACCCAAGGTTACTAAAGTACCTACCTAGGTACCTTACGTTGGCAATTGGATGCGTAGTGCCTTAAGGTAAGGTGCTGAGGGTCTACCCTAACAATCCACTCTTCCCCACGATATCGAACACCGAAATCCCGCATGCTGTGCACAAGGTTCACCACAACGTGCAAAATCGGGCCATGCACCATAATGCACACTAGCCAGTCCGAACGGCGTCTCGGTCTGCCGATGCCTGCGGTGCTTTCCCGCCCCGGTTGGCCGGTGCGGGGCCGTCCGGTGGTCGGAGCTCCTGCCTGGTCTCGTGCGACTGACCGCCTTATCTCATGCCCGGATTCCTTGGCTCAAAAATTCGCAGAATGCATCCTGACCAAGAAATGCGAACTCATAGGGGCCTGGTTGCTGGATTAAATGGAGACAGAAGCAGATTAACGGCAATCCAGTGTATAACTCTATATATGTACCAATACCGGAGCTCCGAGTGCTTTATTCGGGGAGAACTCCCTTGGGACATCACCTAACTCAGAAGGAATCACTACAACGACGAGAACGACGACCAGACCGCCGCTCACACGAGGACTGTACATTGTATCCAGTATCATTTAAGGCGGGCAGATTCTCTTGAATGTTCATAGCCCAGTCATGGTGTTCAAGCTCCTGTACTTCCAATTTGTGCACGTGGCCTCAACGACGATCTGCTACAAGTGAAAGCAACGTGTTGACTTCAGTGGTCGCTCTTTGAAATACAGCTCCTCTGGTAACATACCTGTTTTGGTACATCTAAGCATGAGACTCCTGGAGATGCGAGGCCAGGCGAAAGTTGCCGCTCTTGCAAGCAAGGCCGAACTCACCGCAACCCTGGCGCATCGAGCGGACTTTAAAGCGCACAGATACCGGCTCCTGCTTCTCCTATGTGGCGGCGCCTATATACAATTTCTCGCATCCATCGAAAATTTTGACAGTCCGCGTTTGCTCGGATTGGTGGATCTTCCGTCCTCCACACAACATCCTGCCCCTCCCCCGATGCTTCGGTCCCACGATTGCCCGTACAGGGCCATCTGGTCCGGCCCCGCATTCTGGACTCCCGGCCTTGAACTCCACATCCGCACCGGCACTCGAAAACGGATACTTGGTCCCGGTACCATGGTGCCTTTTGCCTCCACCCTTCCAACGCTGAAGAGTCATCTGTCAGGGAGGTTTGTTTACGCAGTGGTTCGCCCATGTCCCACGTGTGCCCTAAGGAGGTTCCCGGAAAGGGGAGGGGGGGGAGGGGGGGTTGCAGCGACATAGGGGCGACTGACTCTCGCTTTCCTTTGGGCCGACGCCGCCAATCCGCGGGCACGGAACGCATGTTGATGTCGTACAGACACTGACGAACAGAGAGGTACTATCTCACCACGATCGAATGCCGGCTATCGACTTAGAGGCCGTCGGTTGGCTATGTGGTGCGCGCCAGTCCTCGTGCATAGAGAATGGCAGCCAGTCGATATGAGGCATGCCGGCACCCGCGTCGTCGATAGATACCTTGACTGCTTCCAGAAGGCGCGATATGAAGCTACCAATATCAACTCGCCATCATTCATTGATTCTTTGTCCATAAAAAGCATGGAAATCTGGTCCTGTTTACATTTGCTTACCCGCGCACATTTCCATCAAATGAGCCGTGTTCGATCAAGAACCCACAAGATAGACAACGGCGAGATTGACTGTATGTTACCAAGAAATCGCGTCGTCCCCTAATGACAAGGGAGAGTACAACGTAGAGTGAGCATAGCGCGCCTCGTGACTGCCCTGTATGTGAGATCGCTCGACCTGCATCCTCCAAGTCCTTCCCCTTGCGCGCATGCAACTCATGGGTGGGAACCCCGCGCAGCCCAAGCTTGTCGGGGTAAGTTTGCGTCCCTGGACTGATCGCCCTGCAGCATAATCTCACGTCCTGCTGAGCGTAGACTGTGACCTTCTGAATGGGGGACTATTTGTCCTGTTTGGTAACTGGGGCGCGTTGATGGATGGACGCTGTGCTGCGCCTATCCGAGCACCATCAGGGTTTAACAGAGGCGCATGCTTTTTGGACTTGTGTTGGTCTTTTCTGCACACGCAGGGATATTTTGTTGACAATGCTAATTCCTACAGTGACACCTTGAAAAGTAGACCAGTAAATCCAGAAGGAAATATCTTTCCTCCCCGCAGACTTGAAAATCTTTCAGATCTTTCATGTTCACTGTCCAAAGCTCTGCGATAGAGTCTAGGTGAAGTGCCCGTCAACAATGGGACACTACATGGGTCGAGCGGCTTCGACTGGCTTGCGGCCAGATCGCTGGCGAGGTGGCGTCTCTGAAACCGTCAGCAGGAAACCAGCCGCTGAAGAATCACTCCGAGCACCAGCAGAGTTGCGCTGGTGAGAAATGACAGCAACCAAGCCTCTGTCCCGTGATCCTGCTACCATTCCCGGAGATGGCGGGTGAGTTATCTTGAAGAGGGTTGGCGTGGGATGGAGTCATTGGTTGAACGGGTGAGCGCCGGAGTGTCGGTCCGAATACCGGTGAGCCCAGTATTACCCGCCAACCACGCCTCCCCAATTTGCAGGTCTCCACACATCCCTTCTCCAAGTGATGCAACCCCAGACTGTTTCTGCACCCCAGATGTTTCTCTGGCATTTTGCTACCTGTGTACCTGTTGCGCCCGCTTCCCCAGGTTTGGAGACGATACGGAAGGCCGGGCAGCGATATCACCGGGGATTCACAATATCAGAAAGACTGCAGGCGTCTTGTAGTCGACATTGAGGCTGGAGCCAGGATCGAGGGTGCTTTTGCACTCCTGTCAGACGCAAGGCCACACATGCGTGCTGTTTGTTTCTGGGCATAGCGAGTCCTGTGTGGGTCTTCTTCCCAAATTATTGGAGGAATGTCGTACGAGCAGCGGACTGGCACAGCCCTCAACCGCTCAAGTATGCTCTCCGTCTGACTTCGGCCTCCTTGATGATTTCCGCTGCTAAGCTGAGACTAGGCGCCAGCGTCGAATATCGCTCAATCTCCATCACCACGTCATTAATGATCTGGTCGATGGTTTCCCGGTGAGGAACGAGGGTCAGCAAAATGCTGCTCAGAGAGGGTGACATGGTGGCACCCATAACAAGGAGCGTCTGCGACACAATCGAGAGGGCACCCTGCCACAAGTATGGCATATGTCCGGCATGACTGCGGCAAGTTAGCAGTGGTACGCCGAGAGTGGCATGCCATCACCACAGCACGTGGCGTGACCAATCAGTCGCACTTACTGCGCATTGATGTGCTCCAGTTGCCGAATGGAGGCTTCCAGGCACTTGTGGCAATTCTGTCGGACAGCTGGATCCAACACAGCCTGCTCATTGTCCAATACGGCCAAGATGTACGGGCGGTAGATGATTGTCCGACAGGCGTA